CCCCAAAGAATATTCCTGGTACTCATTTCTGTTAGAGGTTGAGTCGACCGCAGGGCCATAGTGCGGCTGGAAGGTTTAGGTCAATTGAAAAAATCCAATGACCTCAACGGGACTTGAACCTCGACATTCCGGCTTGTAGCATAGTGCCTCAACCAACTACGCTACCGCGTGCCCGGATNGGTGGGGGGGGGGGGGGTTGAACGTGTAAGGAAGTGGCCGGCATGTCCCAAAGTATTTGTGATTCGGGGATCTGACGATCAACGAAACTTATTTATCTTCTGGGTGTGATGTCGCATAGTTTGGTCGATAAGTACAAATTTTTTCGGAAGATCCTGCCACGTAAATCTTGAGAATAGAAGATGGGCGAAACAGACGCCTCCGAAACGTTCGTAAATACATACCAGACTATAAGGCGTCACACATTAGAAGACAGCCATGTACAATTCTAGAATTCCATACAATACGAGAATGTGCATGGTCGGACCGAGAACAACCAGTGCCCGTGGCGAGACACGAAGACCTTCTTAGTAGGAAGCCAGAAGACCAGAAGGCCGGCAGACTGTTCTAATACGAACGAATACTTTATGTTGTGTGTTGCAATTCACCGGCTCTGCTTGCCGCCTGCTACTTCTTGCGTCCGCGTGAGCGNCCCCCCCCCCCGCCAAAGGGCTTCATGTTCGACCTTGAATATGTCGTCGATACTTTCTCCCGAATTCTCGGTTAACTTTCACCGGACTAGTGGCTGTTATAATTCAGAACACAAAATTCTTATTGTCTTTTACTTCATATTCCATGTAGTTCTTTCCCTTCACATTTTACACTTTAGTCTTTGTATTTCTTGTATCTCCGATGCGTGCAACACGCTCCACTAATCTCTCACCTTCCTTTATTTAATCATCGTAATATTTGGTCGCTATTACAAATGTTGATCCTTTCATGCATTTTTCACCTCCCTCCTGTTTCTTAGTAATCGTTAGACTCAAATATTCCCCTGAGCACCCTAGTCCCAAACTCTCTGTCTACGTTCTTCCCCTGATGTGGGGGACCAAGTTTCACACCAACACAAAACAATACGCAAAATTATAATTGTTTATATTTTAATCTTCCCATTCTTAGATAGTAAATGGTTTAGATAAACCGCTTTGACGTGAACAGCAACAAGCGTTGCCCGAGTTTAACTGCTCTGCTTCATTCGAGAATGCAATTCCGATTGTTACAGTTTCACTTTGCCACGTTTTCAACGGATCTACAGCAAGCCCTCGCTGATCCGGTTACAGTTACTCCGGATGTCGGATAATCCAGATCGAAATATGATAAAATGAAACATTATTTCCACAGTTGAGTACACACTGTCACTTGTTTACGGGTTATCATAAACTGGGTTTTGTTTGACGAATGGATTTATTGGCCGTTTGTACACACCACTTGGAACTACAGGCACCTAAACGCTGATCTACGCACTTACAAATCACCACAGTACCCTCTAAGCCTTTTTCCAGTCTGTGCCTTCATTAGCCATTCCTTATCAACGGCTTCTAACGGTGGAGATTCCTCAGCTTCCCGCGCTCAGGTCATACGTGTGTCTTCTTAATCTCCCTTGCAAAGCTCAATTCAACTGTCAACCCTCAACTGAACTGGATTGTCCCAGTTGTCATCTTCATAACTCCTGCGCGCGGGCTACATTGAGAAACCCGTTCTTCTATTGTTGCGTGAGTGTTTACCGAGCCGTTGCTCAGAAACTACAGTTTGTTTATTACTCTATTGCCTAGCAATGAGCCTATACGCCATAATACCTTAAAAGACACAGGGGGTTTAGGAGCGAGAGGACTTTCAGACTGTGCTGAGGGCAGCTGGAGAGACTGAAACCGCACAAGCAAATATCCAAAAGTGGCTTGAGCTGGATCAAGGAAACCCTGGATTTCAGCTTCTGACAGTGCGAGAGGACTTTCAGACTGTGCTGAGGGCAGCTGGAGAGACTGAAACCGCGCAAGCAAATATCCAAGACTGGCTTCAGCTGGATGGAGGACGACCTGGATTTCAGCTTCTGACAGAGCGAGAGGACTTTCAGACTGTGCTGAGGGCACCTGGAGAGACTGAACCCGCGCAAGCAAATATCCAAGACTGGCTTCAGCTGGATGGAGGAGGCCCTGGATTTCAGCTTCTGACAGAGCGAGAGGACTTTCAGACTGTGCTGAGGGCATCTGGAGAGACTGAAACCGCGCAAGCAAATATCCAAGATTGGCTTCAGCTGGATCAAGGAAACCCTGGATTTCAGGTTCTGACAGAGCAAGGGATTGCTGCAGTGATACTTTTGTATTTATTTTCATCAGCATTGCCTGTATTATTAAATTTTCCGTTTATTTGTTATATAAGTTTTCTTTTGTACGAGTATTATAGGGCTGCCTTATGCGTTATAATCCGGATGACCTCTCACTTCATTTACCCCCAAATAGCGAGGGTTTTATGCATTAGCCGTCTTGACACTGCGCACTTGCCCGTCACTATGGCGTCGAGACACGCACTGAGACATAGAAAGAAACCTTCATCTTCATTACTGGGGCACGCCGCGCACCCAGTGCAGAGCGTAACGACACTGTACAAGTGTACATTGTATATTGTATATATACAAGTGTATATTGTACAGCAGAAGTACAGCGAACAGTCAGCGAAGGTCGCGGCAAGAAACTACAGTGAATGAGAGCTTATTACAAATCTGCTGTGGATGAAGCACGTAAGTGGCATCCGTCAGATGGCAGCTCCTTCCTTGAACCATAATTCTGCCCTCCTCCCTCGGAAGCATTATCATTTGGGGGGGGGGGGTTGTTGGGTGCGGCTGCTGTCGGTGCGGGTTTTTGTTTAGACGGGACAGCAATGGGCTGGACGGCCGGAGTTCTGTTCCCGGCAAGTACAACAGATTTTTCCCTACTACACAGGGCCCAGGCCGGTTCTGTGGCCCACCCAGCTGTGGGCTGGTTACCCGGGAGTAAAGCGGCCGAGGCATAAAGCTCACCATTCTCCTCCGTCTAGTGCCGAGGTCAAGTATAGTGGAGCTGTAACTAAGCACAGGGACTTTATTTTTTTCTTTTGCTTTGTTGGCAATTCTTCTATAGCAATATTGTGGTAATATATTTACGCTTAAGGATACAAATTGCCTACAAAAATAAAGTCATGTAACTACTTGTGTTTACCCATCCACGCCTGTATGCGACTCCCAACATTCTGAAAATGAGCACGTGTTTCTCCAATGGTCATGACCTGTGGCACTAAGCAGGTTTGCGTGGCTGTAATGCTCACTTTGAATACCGACCGGAACACCGGCTATCCTGACTGAAGTTGTCCGTGGTTTCACTCAGTCCCTCCAAGCAAATACCAGAACAATACCTACATTACGCCACGAGCGCTTCATCCCACTTGCTTACAATTGATCGTTTCGTTAGCTGTCCCACACTTGGACGCCGTATAGACTGGGCACTGAAGCCACAGTCACTAACCCACAAAGGAGTAGTTTCCGACACACTTGCTGTTTAGTCTGTGTGCGCCATGAGCTTTCTCCGACTGCCAATTGCGTAACTCGCGACCTTTTCCTCTCCTCACGCGGCGAGAAAGTTCTGTGGCAGTTACGTAAAGGCGGCAGGCCTCAGGCCGCTCCAGAGCTTCGATATGCTGGCCTGTTAGGGCGGGTCAGGAAGTCATCAAGGCACTGTTCGCCTGACGGGACTGTCGTACACCACGAAGAACGTCATAAATCTGATGTCCCCCAACCGAAACTGAAACCAGGATCCTCTTGGAGAGAACAGTTGAGGGATTAGTCGCAGAAAGGAACCGGACGGCCGGTATGGACAGCAAGTATCGTCTTCATTGTCCGCTCTCCAGACCGACTTTCGAGCCCGTTAAACCTTCTTATCCAGCCCACATCGGCGACTTATTCCATGAATAAAGTCGGCCGGGGCGTGAAACTCTCTGCTCACCACAAGCTCTTACGAAAATCTATAATCCATGCAGCTTTACGCCTTCGTTCTGTTGTGCTTAAAACAAAACAAACTCCGTGGCCTGTAGTCCGCAAGCGACCGATACCGACCGAGCAACCGCCCCTTGTAGGCGAAATTAGTGCCAACTTTTGCGGATATAGAGTGTCGCGTGGTCAGAGCAACGAATCTCCACGGCCATTAATTTCGGTTTTCAAGAAATAGCTCCCCAGTTATCCTCACGAGGCTCAGTGGACCCCATTCCAGACCCACTACTTCTCAGAAAATCTGGTAGCGCCGGGAATCGAACCCGGGACTTCTGAATCTGTAGGCAGGAAGTCCGACCACTAGACCACAGAGGCGGTCTCTGTTGTGCTTAAGCGGGAGGAAAATTCTCCTTACTTCCAAATGTAAGCGACGGTATCACACAGCCAATATGCTTGATGACTACATTTAGCAACACTGTTTAAGTGAATGGATTGTGGTAACAACTGGTACTTTCAAGCCAACTAACTCTCTGATAGCAGAACCCGAAGGTTCAACACCGCTAATACCAAAGCCCCTCACTGGACACGATCCTGAGCCAGTTCCATCCACCTCCCATCCTCGCAACCTGTTTCCCGCAAGACCATGTTGACGCACTCTTGCTGTCTCCTCGGCCTACCAACTGGCGGCTATCCGAGTGAATTACCACCAAAATTGTACGGGTATGTTCATTGCTTGCCTCGCCTATACCAGGTGAAGTCTGAGGCCAGCTTAACTTCATTCATATCTGCCCAGTTCTAACTGAGCGTGGTTTGTAGTGGACGGATGTGCGTGGTCAGCGTCACGTCGCGCCCTGCTCTGGTAGGGGCAGAGAAAGTCGCAACGGCCTCATACGGATTCGAACCCTTGCCATGACGTGTGTAGGCTGCACAGATATTGTGTCATATTTAGCTTGTACGCGAAATAGCTTCACGTCTCATTTTAATAGATTCAAATCGGAAGGATTTGCCTGTTCCGATCTCTCCTTAAGGAAATGTATTGTGCTTGCAGTGGCTGACGCCAGTGGCCGGTACGTTCCGAGCTTCTTTTGGGGCAACAGCTACTGGACCGGGTCAGAGTCCCTGTGTTACCACCTCAACTCAAACGCCTCGAAACTGGAGGCGCCTCCATTCAAACTGGGCTTCTACACCGTGCGCCTGCAGATAGCTCTCCCACAGTACATTTCTCCGAATGTGAGTATAGCTGCAGAGTTAGACGCAAGTGAAGTGAAAGCACTGTAGACAATATGAACTACGTACTTGACGTGCAATACAGGCTTTGCTTTTTCCGTAAGCCTCAATCTTTTCGAGGCAAAAAAAAAAAAAGGAATGTTTATATTGTACTATGTCATAACTCGAAACCCGTAGATAACATTTTATATTTTAGGGCGGACTAGGCTATGACCTGGGCGATCAGGGAATTGGGGTTCGATTCCTGGCAAGGGTAGATATTTTTCTCTTCTCAGTAGCTTCCAATTTGCATCTGTAACGCAGCCAGCCTACTCTCCAGCGGGTTACAGAGGCTCTTCCAACCGGCATAAAGTGGCCGGTGATTGAAGTAGACAACTCACATTCATCTAGCGTCAAGACTAAGAATGCGTGGTGGTGTACCCTTCATATCTTGATGGCGCAGCGCTTACTTAAGCTCAGAGACAATTTGCCTTGCGATACTCTAGCCAACATGTAAAGATCCGCAGCTGCTGGAGGTGATGTGCAAGTTTATCGCTACAGTTTTTGGGCCAGCATTCCCATTTTATCAAATCATAGTTCTTTACCTGAATTCCTTCTTTGAAGATTTAGCTACCGCTTTATATGGCGCTATCTGTGTCTGATGATACATTAATTAGAAAAGGCCTGGAAGGAATGGATAATAGCCTGATGTACTATCCTGGAATTTGCCTCAAGGGACTAAGAAAAGTCACAGAAAGACTTAGTCCAAATGGCCATTGCCCCAGTAAAGATTCGAAGCTAGCACTCCCTGATCACAGGACTAGAACATTATTACTACTGCAGCCCTCTCAGCTTTGGCTACCACATTCTGTGATACTGAGAAGTAAAGCAACCGTATATTGGAAGCAGCAGCAGGTGCTTCAGACTGTGTGTAGTTACTTATTTTCAGCAGGTAAGTAGAGAATGCAGTTCACAGCTCACTCAGTTGATAGGAACCTTTCAGATTCCATAGTCTTTGCCAGTGATGTTTTGCCCACCACAACAACAGTCTCATCAAGATAGAATGCAAAAACCCATATGCCAAGTGCCCAGTCTAGACACATGTAGCTTACTGAAAACAGATCTTACGTGTTGGTCTGCATTTAAGAGTCGTGGCTGGTCCACAGGAAGAGTCTATGAATTGTTTTGGTATGTGTCTAAAAGCAGTAGCCTCCTCTAGTGATGGCACTATAGAGCATTGGTCTATTATAATGATGGTATTGCAAAGCAATAGTCTATTCTAGGGATGATATTGAAAATATATAGTCTATTCTAGGTATGGCATTTCATTGCTAAAACCCTGTTCCAGGACCGCCGGTTCCTCCTGGGTCTTTGTCTGCCCTTCTCTTGCAACAAGCAAGATGTTCGCCAACTGCTGCAGCTGTCTGCCCGAGATGAGGAACCAGAACCACGGTCCATACAGATTCTGAAAGTCCGGTCCCCTCATAACAGCTACATAATGTGGCATGATCGCACATTCTGGATACTGTTGTGAGTACACAACTACCAGAGTCAGAACGGCCTCCTTAGTATGCTCACATGATGGCTCATATTTATTGAATAATAGCTGAAACAGGGATCACAGTTTTTCCCTCAGCAGGTCATATTCTAGATGCCTCTCATTCACAACCTGAAGGGACCGAAAGTGGCTCTGTCCAGAAACATGTTAACTTCTTCCTCCTCTTTTGAAAGGGCTGTTTCTCACAACTGTGTTTCACCGTTTCTAATGAACCAGGACAGGACTCAACCCCCTCTCCTCTCCCCCAGCTCTGGATTGGAGTGACCATGGTCCATGCCACACAATTTATAAAACATGGTCACTCTGCCAGCTCAGTGACAGACTCTAACTGACAAAGTTTCTGATGATCTTCAGTAATGCAGACTGTAAATATCAAAATTTCTGGTGATCCTCAGTAACACAGACTGTAAACAACAAAGTTTCTGGAGATCCTCAGAAACACAGACTGCAAGTAACAAAGAGTCTGGTGATCCTCAGTAATATACTCTAAGTAAAATAATTATGGTGATCCTCAGTAACACAGACTGCAAATAACAAAGTTTCTGGTTATCCTCAATAAAGCTAACTGTAAACAACAAAGTTTCTGGAGATTCTCAGAAACACAGACTCCAAATAACAAAGTTTCTGGTGATCCTCAGTAATATAGACTCTAAGAAAAAACATTCTGGTGATCCTCAGCAACACAGACTGAAAGTAACAATGTTTCAGTGCAGTGTCAGTGCTTGTGCTCAGCCTCATGGCCCTGGGGACAGGTTATGACATCTATCTGGTACACCAGAGCCGCCACTTCTTCAACGAGAACTACACATACGAGATAACAAGGGCTTCACCCCCTCACCTTGGTGAGAGGCCCATGAAGCTGGACGTCGGCAGCTTCACCCAGAGTGCCACACTTAGCTCCAGTGATGGGGTCATAAACCATGGTGAGTCACTGACAAACTGTATCATGTACAAATGCCAATTATTGGGTAATAAGTAAGGTTTGAGGTTTTCACGGCGGTGACTATGAAGAAAGTAGTCTTCTGGGATGTGGCACCACGTCCCAGAAGACTGCTTTCTTCATGTGGTAATAAGATTCCTCCATTGGGTGGAACCCTAAACCAGCTGAATTTCAGCCACATCACTACAACGTACCTCTCCACGTTTCTTTTTTAATATTATTCTTGTATCCTCAATTAATCTTGTGGGAGGAGTTTTACCAATCATTGTAGTTGAGTGGAAACCACTTCTCCTCCATACTAGGGGCACCCTGGTTTTAACGCTTTCAAGTATGATTTTAAAAGAATCACAGAAATATTTAAGCCCTAAACAGATCTGGAAATTAGTTTCTAGAATTACATAGCTGCATTAGCTCATCACCTTTGGCACAAAAGTGATGGAAATGAGCTTAGAGAGACACAGAGATGTCTGTGGGACATAAGCATCCCAAGGGTTACATCTTGGCCCACGCACTGGCTATCGTGAATAGGGGTTATAGTGATTTTCCTTATTCTCTCCAGACAAATATTAAAGTACTACCTCAAATTAGGCCATGACCACTTACGTCCATATTCATTCCAATTCATTATTCATTAATCAACTTATCATTCAATGCTTCATAATCTCAGCTACTGACAGCTTCAGACTTTCAAAGCCTCAAATTCATGTCAGTAACATTTATAAATGCAGTTCTTATCTTACAGAAAACGCCTTATTTTTCTGTTACAAAGATAAATCAGTTAATGCTGTTTAAGAAAATAACTGTTATTTACTGTGGGAACTGTATGGAATATGTTACTAAAATCTGTGGGTGAAATGAAAAGTTCTCTAATGGTAGATTAAGTGCTACATATAATAATCATTGTGCCTTATGTGGTTAAATAAATAGAGCCATAAATACATGCATTTTTCCCTATGTATATAAACATAAAATCTGCTCTATCCTTTCAATAATGGGGCTGGTTAGGCAACAGATTTAATTTTTAACTTCTTGTACTAGAATGTGGTTTTATTCATTTTCCAAAACATGCCCTAAAATGAAATTTGTTTTCTGTGCTGGGATATGCAATAGCTGCTTCCATTCCCAGTTCATAACCATGCTGCTGAATGTTCCAGGACTCGAAGGCAGCCTGGGGACGTTGAATGAGAGCATCCACACGACATCAAATGACTCTGACACATCTGAGAACCTAGGTATGTCAGTATTCAGAAATGCAATGAAATGTGTTCAGGAATTCTGCACCTTGCTGGACACAAATTTTTCCATCAGTATGTATTACAAATATGGACCATTTTCATGTTGATGCACTAAGTATCTAAAAGTTAGACATTCTCATAAATGTTACTTAATTTCCTCTGGAATATGACATTGTGTAATTTGGTAGACAGATACCAACTTTTCAGAGAAATATGCTACCTCCATATTCAGGACTATATGTTCCTCTGAAATGTTGGTACCTAACTACATAATGCTACATCCCAAATATCACAACCTTAATGATCACAAACTTTAAAGAAAGAACAGCATTCAAATTGAAAAAATAAAATTTGCTCATGTAATTAAAAAGAAAAAGAAGTAGGAATGTGGATCCAGCTGCCATTCAGAAACAGTACCACAGTGTTCACACATCGCCTTAACAGCCGTGAGTACCGTGCATACTGGCAAGAGTACGGAGTAAATGTCATAATGTCTTAGGTTATTCTCTATTCCAGTCGTTCCAAAGTGGGCTGTACCATCTCCTTGGGGCAGTTGAATTATCTAAGGGGCAGCTGGTGTTGCTGGATATGTGCCCCTCCAAACAGGTTGTTTCTTTATTTATGATGGAAGGGACTTTAGACCAAACACTGGGGAACTGGGGTCACTTCATCAAGCCCACCCATCACATCAAGTATTTACTGACAGTGAAGTAGTTACTAAATATGGTACCTTGTTTTATTGTTATTATCTTCCTTAGCGGGATGTGCAAACCGCCGTTCTGAACATTGCTTCTTAAAGTGGGAAAAGGGGCACTGGGGATGAGTTTATGGAATGATGGGGGTAGTAGCCCAAAAAAGTTTGGAAACCACTGATCTATTTGGTCCGCTAAAGGAAACGTAATTTACATTCTTATATATGTGTTATTAAATCTAGGATTGCTATGGCAAAAGCTGCATTTAGCAAGAAGAAGAATCTTTTTACCAGCAAATTGGACTTAAATTTGAGAAAGAAACTAGTGAATTGCTACATTTGGAGCATAGCTCTGTATGGGGCTGAAACATGGACACTTAGGGCAGTAGATCAGAAACATCTGGAAAGTTTCGAAATGTGGTGTTGGAGAAGGATGGAGAAGATCAGTTGGACCGATTATGTGAGAAATGAAGAAGTGTTAATTAGAGTCAGTGAGCAGAGGAATATCCTACACGAAATAAGAAAATGGAAGGCTAATTGGATTGGTCATGTTTTACGCAGAAACTGCCTTCTAAAAGAAGTTATCGAAGGAAAGATAGAGGGGCAGATAGACGTGACCAGAAGACGAGGAAGAAGTAAGAAGATGCTGGATGGCCTTGGGGACAGAAGAGGATACTGTCATTTGAAGGAGAAAGCTCTAGATCGCATTAAATGGAGGAACTGTTTTGGAAGAGACTGTGGACCTGTCGTCCTGACAGATTACTGATGAATGAATGAATACATGTTATCCAAGTGCACACATGCGTGTGTGTGAAGGAAAGGGCCAGTCAGTGAATGAGTGGCAATTTGAGCCACCCCCAGTAGAGAGGGAGTGACTGGTAGTAGTCAGGCCCCTCCTCTCATCAAAGAGGAGGCCCATTTCAAGACGTGTAAAAGTCTGGACAAGAACAAAAATATGATCATGGTTCTCAACGGAATGTGAAACCAAGACTGACTGTGCTGGCAGGGGACAGCAGCAATTTTACCCCACTGCCTGATCGCATTAGCCAAAATCCAAAAACCTTCAGACCATACAAAGCAGATGCTTAAGAATGATTGGAAAATATCCCAGAACAGCAAATGATAACTTCTTACAGTGCGTTCAGTTAAGGAGGAAACTTTGCAACACCGCTGACCCAGTCCAACATTCCTCACAGATTGCTGCTGTAACTGCTGATAGCAAAATGAGTCATTAGTGCTCATAAATGCGCGCCGTTACAGTTACAGTAGCAATCTGTGAGGAATAGTGGGCCAGGTCAACAGTGTTGCGAGGTTTCCTCCTTGAGTGAATACCCTGTACATGCAGATTTCTCAGTTCTTCAAGTGGGTAAGTACCTCCAGCTTCCAGTGACAGGCACATATAAAAATGTCATGAGCTAATAAGACTGAGCTTGAGACATGAAAGGGCAGTGGATGTTGTTACAGGTTTAGTGGCTGAGATGGTACTGGCATTCTCTGTGAGGCGGAATGTGCTGACAATCTGTGACCAGTGCGTGGGCAGCGATACGATCCCCACAATTCACGGGCTAAGAAGTATCAGCATGGGATGGGTCATTCTGGGACACACGTGCCTCGTCGCCTTCAAATACTCAGGTTGGAGACAGTAATACAACATTAGAGACAGTTCTTGTTGTTATTGGTGTCTAAAACTTAAATGAGGTATGTCCCACCTTGAGTTGGCAACCTTAAGGAAGAAAAGCCCTGCATGTATGAACGAGGTCTCTGCCATGTCAATGTGTGTTCACACAATGTGCCGAGAATAGAATCTGGTAATTTTTTAATGATGAAATGGGGTTCTACATCACTGCCTGATGATGACCCTTCCTCAAAACTGTTTTAAAAACAATTTACAACCTCATTAGATTTTTCACTGATATTTTGAGTCTCTGATCCCCTTTCATACTGAAGGAAGTGTCTGCTCTTCACCTGGGATAGGTTTGCTCTCTTTGTCAATATTACTATATAGTATCACATGTTAGAGTGATTCTCGACAGGATTTGGACTGGATATTGGATTTATTGACTACTTACAGATCGTAACTACAACAGTCTCACTGAGTTACACACTCCAAAGATCACTGTAACTAAAGCACACATAAAGTCTTCTCTTCACAGCCTGACTTTCAACTAAGCACTAAATGTGTTGCTCCAAACTGTCCCTGTTGTAACATCTTGACATGGACCGCACAAAAAACACCATTCCTCTATTGCTGTTCAGTTATTGCCTATTAAGGATCTGCTGTCTACCAACAGACGTTGTTCCATTGTTTATTTCATGGCCATTACCTAGAAACAAAAGTTGTATCACAGCTGTTCACTAGCAATGGCTGTTTCTCTAGATCCACATTTCTTGCTTTGTGCAAATATTCTGCAATAGTAACTACAACTTCTAAAGCGGCCTCCATAGTCTACAGGTAACGTTCCCACCTCATGACTCGTAGTACACGGGTTCAAATAACCGGCGGGGATCGTCAAATTTTTAAGGGCGGAAAAATTCAGGGAACAAGTCCTCCGGGAGGGACTTTAAGCCGTGGGTCACGTGTCGTAGCTTTACGGCACGTAAAAGAACCTCATATCTCCAAAGGAGGTCATTGAGCCACATTAACGGACGTTTCCCGCCCAACAGCAGTCTCTAATACCTCTGGTAGATGGGGGAAGCATTATAGATACCTCTCAGCTAGTAGAGCCGGTCTCGCTGGCTGGGCAGGACTGATGGTAAGCACCAGTACCGGTAGGATATAGAGACTGGTAGAAATCATAGAGGGAAGCACAATGGACCAATACAGGTCTCAGTGCATGGGGAAACCCACCCTCTCCAATAACTAACTAACTACAACTTCTAGATATTAAACTTCACTCGTGTAATTAAAGAATAAAATAATTATGAATGTGGATTCAAATCTCATTTAAAAAACCCCGTGCAATATTTGCTTCTCATTATTACAGCCATGGCTGTTGTATATATTTCCATTGGTGTGCAGTAAGTTTTGGAATGTTTGATGATCTCTGTTATGTCTGCAGTAGGAAACACAGGACACTGACCGGAAACAGACAGAAAAGTTACGTTCTTACATAGGTCTGTATTGAAAATTAATCTCCCAAAGGATCTGAGTAGTTGCTATGGCAATGATATGTGTGATTGCAGACAACATGGAGTACCGGAGTGTTGTAGAAAAGGAATTCCTCTTCCAGACAATAAACAATGGTGCCTACTCTGTGGACACATTCTTCTTCATCAGGTGAGCAACAAGCTGGGGGAAAAGCTACTGTGATTTTTATAATTTTTCCAAGAACTTATTTTTATGTTGTGTAGAGTCACTAGAGTACAGGTATAACAGAGTTACAAGCTCAGGTTCAATTCTGAAGATATTACTACTGATTCTGGTCCAAAATTTAGATATCTCTGTTATTCTGAAATATCATGGCATTGGTGTCCAATCTGAGGATCTCAGGTTTGAATGGGATAATGGAATGCAAGGCAAGTAATACTCCAGCTGTGGGTTCCCTCTGTGAACAACAATCCTACCACTAAGGTTGCAGAGTCCACCTGATAGGAAGCTCCAACTCAGAAATGGAAGAATTCTGCAAGAAGAAGCAAAGAGAGCCGGGCTAGATACTAATGTAAATAACACTATAGAAATGAGGGTAAACAATAAAATACAAAGGAGACTAACAGTTTATAAACAAGAAATCGAGCAAGTAGAGATCTTCTCTTACTTGGGGAGTACTGTAACCAAGAAAGGGGATGCAGATGAAGATGTTAAAAATCGAATAAAAAACCAAATGGGGCCTTTATCCAATCTGGAGAAATATATTTCCGAGAAGACTGAAGTCCACATCTTCAATACAAACATGAAGTCAGTATTAATTTATGCTTCTGACACATGGAGGGTCACAAAGCAGATCACTGACATGCTGCAGAGTTTTATTAATAGATGTTTATGCCGAATCATGAACATAAGATGGTCAGAAACTATCTCAAATGAAGAACTATGGACAGTCACAAATCAAGAGCCAATTGATGTTCGGATAAAGAAAAGAATGTGGAATTGGATCGGTCATACTTCGAGGAAACCTACTGGAACCGTTAAAAAGACTGCACTGGACTGGAACCCCCAGGATGCTCATAAATGTGGCTGTCCCAGGAAAACTTAGAGGAAGAAGCCAGAGAAGGAGGCAAAACATGGAATGAAGTAAAAAGACTGGCAGCCAACAGGACCAGACAGAGGAGTTTCACAGATGCCCTATGCTCCAGAAGGAGCTACAGGAATTGAATGAAATGAACTCATAACTGGAGACATCAGCCATAACAATAACACCAGGTGGATGAGAATTGCAGAGAACTGTATCAATACAACCACGTGAATCACCCAGTTGTGTCACTGTTATATTTCAGGCATATGTGGGTATCAAATTCCTGAGACAAAATCAAGAAAACGAATATCTTAATCTTGATTTTAATGTTGAGGCTCTAGTCTCAAATTTCCAGAATTTTCAGATACTACTTCCATTTTGTGAGGTAGCACCCAAACTAAACAAACTACCAGAATCTTAATGGCTGATAATGCTTGTGTGAATGAACTTGATGCAGTCTCTTCCTCACCCTCATTCAGCCCACTGTGAAAAAGAACATGGCTCTACGAATGAGTTATCTTTAACACGATTTACAAAATATTTTCATTAAAAATATCTGATATCTAAAGAGGTAAGAATTACACTGTAGTTCAGCATGAAAAAATGGCTATTGATATAAACTGTGATTACATCAAAAAACAAAAGCTGTAGTATAGAAAATTCTTCATATGGAAGCATAAGGCTGTTACACTTCCTGCAACTGACTGGTCTACTGTGTTACAGTGGACTTCTGGTGTCATTCCTGTATTTCCGCACAGTTAGCAAGATTGACATTACACAAGTGACAAGAAGCACTGGCTTCCAAAACAGCGCGCTGCAGTACGTGGGGCTCATGGCCTACCGGTATGGCAGGTAAGAAGGCATTCTAGAGCGTGAGCATGGAAGGTACAGCTCCACACATTTTAAGTGGAGTTGTATGGTAACATTATGCTATGACCAGGGAAAGAACTGTTCTGGACACAACAGTGAAGAGAAATATCACAATATTTCTAACCCAACTGTCCAGCACCAGATTACTCATGGAAATAGTTATCATGGCTTCACTTCTGAAACAGACACAGATTCCATTAGTAGCTGTGAATCTGCCATTCCCAGTGACACAGATTGCAGTACTGAATTGTTAACAATACTCATACATATTGAGATCAAACTCTCAGTAAAACAAATTGAACTCAGGCTTCTAACAGTACACACTGTAGTTGAATTCTTAACAGTATACACCAAGGTCAAATTCCCGATAAAACAAATTCTACTCAAAATTGTAACAGTACATACTGTGTCTGAATTCTCAAGAACATAAAACTGAGGTAAGTTTTCCAATAATACACATTGTGGTCAAACTGCCAAGAATAAATTTGCTGTTAAATTCCCAATATTACCCACTGATGTCAATTTTACAGCAGTACAGATTGGGGTCAAACTTCCAACAATATATATCTTTATTTTTATATATATTTAATGAACATACTACATACAAATTAGTTCCAGTACAACTCTACAGGGTTATCATTTACACAATACGACAGCAAATTCTTTCAGAATTTATAAGAATGTGTTACTGTGGGCAGTATTCCATATATACGGTACATTTACAGGCCCGGAAGATGTCATGAAAACCAGTTAGGGGCAACAGTGGAACCCAAGTGCTGCGGTTCAATATACAGGAAGCTTAACTTGAAATTCGCTGTCTTCCGTCCATTGCAGGTCACTGCAATTATCAACACTTGGCAGGTAGCTGGTGACTCCATCTTCAGCTACCCTGAAGAGATAGGCAGAGGGTTCCTCCAAAACGTTTGCTATCTACCTGTCAGGTCACATAGCAACACATCCCAGAATATAATAAATAATCTTCATAACTTTGTATCTGGTCTCTGTACTGCAGGCTGACTGTGCCATACCTGTTTGTGCTTGGTGTCGTGGAGGTAACAATGAAGTGGTTCTACTACAACTCTGTGTTTGAGCCCCCTACTGCAGACCATGTCAGCTGCCCCAGCTACTGGTGGAGGAATGCTCTGTACATTAACACCCTCTTCCCTGTTCAGGACATGGTGAGCCCCCCTATGATATGTGAGGTTCTCACGACAGTGAATATTAAGAGTACAGTCTTCTGGGGATGTGATGTTGTGTAGTCTGACAGTCACCAAAGTTTCAGAGAAACATTCTACTTCCATCATCAGGATGAAAGTCTACCATGAAAGTGGAGGTAGCAGGTTCCTCTGAAACAATGATGCCTCTATGCAGAACTGCATAAGTCACATCTCAGTAGACCTTAATCTTAATACCTCAAATCTCATACACATAGGGTAGTTTTATGAGAAGACTTGATGATCCTTTTTTAAAGTGTCACTGACAAAGTGTGTTTCCTAGCAATAATACTGGGCTATGTTGCAGTGCATGCTTTGGAGCTGGTACCTAGCAGATGACACACAGTTTTACGTGCTCGGTTGTGCACTATTAATCCTTGCTGTCAGGTCAGTACCAATCAGTAATGCCTCATGCAAGCCTCCACAGTAATGGCGGCATGTGACACATCCGTCTTTGTGTTGCAGTTACTTCCGTGTGGCAGCCGTGCTCACAATAATCTTTCTCATCAGCAGCTGGTTCACTACAGCATTCATTGCCTACAACAATAGACACAACCCAAGGTATGATATGCATCTGTAAAGTTTACTTGCACATTACAAATGTTTAGCTTATGAATTTTGGCCAGAAATTGAAAAATATGGCCACAAAATTCATGACGCACATCATAAATTCACCCTCATGGAAATTTTGGATAAATATGAGAATTTTTCTTTGTACAAAATCAGCCAAAAATACATATTTAATGAAATTATTTAAGAAATTCAGCACATATACAGACATACATCAGTGATGGGTTTGGTAGATGGCATGGTCGCTATCCCCATCTTAATTAAGACTGTGCAATGTATTGCTTTTATTCGAGAGATCCGTGTATCTATTATTATTTCTGATGGGTCACAAAGTGTTTTTACACTCCATACAGACATAAATTAAAGTTCTCAAATCCACTGCTCCACAAAGAAACTTTAAATGGGGATATAAATGCATTTTATAGTGAATTATTATTTTAAAGCTTAAATGGTATATTGCAGCTTCATATAAAGTATGACTAAATATCACAGCTGATGGCTGGCACACCTGCATTGTATCTGGGAGATCCTGGGCTACAATATTTCTGCAAAGACTGGTTGACTGGTTGTCCTGAATAAGGCTTTTGTGGTTTCCCTCAGTCCCTCTTGGTATGCTGGGATAGTACCTCAAATTAGACCACAGCTATTCCCTTCTCCATCTTTTCAATTTATTACTGTATTGACAGCCTCACTAAATAAACCATAAATCAATAATACAGAATGTAATGTAAAGTAGGTGTTATTTTGTACTGATATGAAACAAAATTAAATTTACCAAGCAAATTTTTAGCACTGAATGACAGTTCCATATTTCATGATAATCTGTTGGGCAGTTCTGAATATGGACAAAATGCTGCCATTAAACACTTGTAGTATGCACTTTGTGCAAGACCATGTACAAGAGTTATGCTTTTTTAAAGGAGACAAGAGCAGAATTAAAATTGTAGGGATGTTAATCATGAAGTCTTGGGCCAAATGAGGCATCTGCAATTGTGAAATTTAGGAGAAGGTGAACAACCCTGGTTACAAATTGTGATCTTTGATTCTGCAGTGTGGATGACCCACTAGCCTTGTTTGACAAGATCTATGACAAGCCATGGACCCGTCTTGGGCCTTACCTCGTGGGCATGATTGTGGGCTGGATCCTGTACAAGACAGACTGTAAGCTCAAGATGAGCAAGGTTAGATTCACTTGTTGATTTACTTACTAGATACTTTTTAACTTAACTAGGCAGTTTCCTCATGATCCAGTATTCCACTGCTTGCCATATGCCATTGTTACCTGCTTCTTCTTACTTTCAACTAATTCATGTCTCAAATTTCATCCATATTAACATATTTCTTTACATAGCTCCAAAAGAAAAAAAACCGTGCGACATCAAATCAGGCCTCCTAGATGGCTACAGAATCAAACCACCACTGAAATGTTGCACTAAGAAGTTCCACAACATATTTTGAGAAATATGGCAGTGGTCTCTCTTGCTGGAAAATTATGGGGGCTGTTTGTGAAACTGTTTTAGTGGAGGCACATGAGTCAAATGAAAACCTTAAATATTTTTTTGAGTATTATTTATTGTGCACAAGTGGTACAAAGCTGTATCACTTTTCAACATGATCTCCCCCATGCTCAATGCAAGTCCTCCAGCGCTTACAAAGTGCATGAATTCCTTTAGAAAAAAATTCTTTGGTAGTCTGCGCAACCACTCATGCACCACTTCATCAGAACGGAACATCTTTCCTCCCATTGCCTCTTTGAGTGGTCCCAACATATGGAAATCACTTGCAGCAAGGTCTGGTGAGTATGCCAGATGAGGAAGACACTCAAAATGCAGGTCGCAACTGTTGTACTGGCAGTATGGGGTCTTGCATTGTCATGTTGCAAAAGGATACCTATGGACAGCAATCCACGTCGCTTTGATTTGATTGCAGGCCGAAGATGATGTTTTAGGACATCTGAGTATGATGCACTGGTGACAGTGGTCCCTTTAGGTGTGTAGTGCTCCAAGATGACGCATTTCTCATCCCAAAGAGAGTCAGCATAACCTTCCCTGCTGATGGTTGTGTTCGAAACTTCTTCGGTTTTGGAGATGAGGAATGGCACCATTCCTTGCTCGCTCTCTTCGTTTCCGGTTGGTGGAAGTGAACCCAGGTTTCGTCCCAGTAATGATTCTTGCAAGGAAGTGATCACTTTCTCGCTCAAAGTGCCGCAGAAGTTCTTCACAAGCATCAATACGTCAGTCTTTCAATTCAGGAGTCAGCTGCTGTGGCACCCATCTTGCACACACTTTGTGAGACTGGAGCACATCGTGCACAGTGTGGTGTGCTGAACCATGACTAATGTTTAAACTTGCTGCAATTTCACTCAATGTCACTCATCGGTTTTCCCTCACTATGGCTTCAACTGCTGCAGTGTTCTCTGGAGTCACAACTCGATGTGCCTGACCCAGACGAGGAGCATCTTCCACTGAAGTCGCACCATTTGAAAACTTCCTACTCCATTCGTACACTTGCTGATGTGATAAACATGCATCACCATACTGAAACTTCATTCTTCGATAAATTTCAATAGGTTTCACACCTTCACTACACAAAAACCGAATAACAGAATGCTGATCTTCCCTGGTGCAAGTTTCAAGTGGAGCAGCCATCTTATACTGGTGCTGTGACAGTGTTCATGCATCTGCACTATGCTGCAACCTACAGGTCATTCTGCACGCTGTTTGTAGCACGCTCATCAACTTACAGGATAATGGCGTGAAAGTTCGATATTTTATTACAAATTTAAGGTTTTCATTTGACTCACCCTCATATTTGGAGAGAGAGCCTCCCAAAACTCCACCCTTAACTTTTGCAGCACAGTGTACAATATCGTTACAGATGTCCATAAGTTGGGCATATGTATGTGTTACAGGTGGCTGTAGCATTAGGTTGGATGCTGTGTATTGGGTGCCTCACAGCACTAGTGTATGGGCTGTATGACACGCACCTAGACCGCATCCCAGCAGCAGCCTACTCATCACTCAGCCACACTGCCTGGGCTATTTGTCTCTCCTGGATTGTCATAGCATGTTCCACTGGATATGGAGGTCAGTGCTGCCATGACATTTACTGTTCACAAATATCACTTGCTGCACTAAAATATGAAACATTAACAGCTCCTAGAATGGGAAAAACATTTCTTTATCTGCTATTCTTATATCGCAGAGAACAAGCGGAAGTATGAATTTTTTGCCTGGTACAGGGTTCCCTTTATTGTTATTACCACAAATACAGAAGCCAAAAGTTTAAAGAAGGAATAAACTCACATTAAGAAATCAAAGTTTATTCAGGTAACTAAAGAAAGGACTGGTAATGATGGTTCAAATTCAATCCAAAAACTCCACAGCAACACTTGCATATCAATTTAACAGCCACTGGTCACTGCACATACTGGCAAGAGTATGGAGTTACTTTTGTATCTCTCGGTGTTCTCTGGTAGGCCAGTAGTAGGAAACAGAAAAGTTATATATATATATATCTCAGAAGTTACTGGGCTGAGACAGCCTATTTTTCCCTCTAAAATAAGTAAAGTAGGCTAAAAATTTACTTTGTCTGTTTGGATTTGTTAGTGGGAGTTTCCATAAAATTAAAACTATTCACATTTTGGGTCCCATTCAGTGAGTTACAGCCCATGTTAACACACTGCGGACCAGTGGTTTAAACATTTAAATCACCCTGGGGACCGGCGTTTTTAAACCTACTACCCTAACTTGTGCACTGTTCACTTTAAAAATTAATATAAAATCTCCTACTTAATTTTATGAACTGAAATTTTTGGAGAACACTTACCAGAGCTCCTAGAAGTGCTTGCGCATGTGATATCTCTGGAAACATTCCCCTTTGTGAAGAGGCATTACGCAGAAGTTGCACATTTAGGCAGTTCTACTCTTCTTCTTGTGCTCTGCGCACACA